TCACCAACATGTTGTCCTCGAAAAATCTCACAACTTAGCCTTTTGGATCACCCAAATCATGAGAGAGATGAGAGAGTTAAGAGAGTTTGAAGTTTTGGAGATGTTGCTGAAAATCTGCATTATATTGCAGATTTTCTGCAATTTTTTTCCAACAACTAAAAAACCCCGACGGGGTACTCCGATATCGTTCGGAACCCCGTGCACGCAAACGAGATATGCAACCATACCAAATTCGATATTCCAGACTCAACGGCGCAGTCGAAATTTCCATCAGAAGTGATTTCGATAAAAAGTGGGTCCCACTTCCAAGAGTCATTTTAAGTCAAAACCCACAAAAGGGCTCGGAAATATATCGAAAATCTCGGGACACAAAAGAAGGGTTAATCTATACAAAACTCGACATTCCGAAGCTAACTGCACTGACGAAATTCTCATCCGAGCGCGTTTACTCAGAATGTTGACCAAAGTCAAACTTAAGCCAAAATTCAAAGGTTTAAACGCCTAATCACACCGATTCACACTGAAAATCTCGGGAGTCATGTTGACCATGCTACTAGCTTAAAATGACCCTTCCGGAGCTGATGGAATCGTTAGAATTGGATTCCGATGTCATCTTCTTGAACTTTTGATAAAAAATGATCGTTCAAGGTTCATAAGCTCCAAAACACAAAAACTTACACCAAGACCAAACGAACGACTAGGTGACCGAATTGTCAGTCCCAGCAAGTCATAAATGACTTGAGGTCGCTACAGGAACGCTCTAAACGACACACAGAAGGCAAGACACAAAAATGACCAAGAGGGTCATTACACATGACAAACAACAAATCACTCATTTCATTCAAAGAGAGAGTATTCAAGCCTCAACAAAACAACAAGGGACTTTATAGACTGACATATTGCTTCCTGAACCAGCTGTTATTTTGATTGCTTGTATTTATGCTTATATTGTAGGATTTGTTTCACTTGTGTTAGAAATGTTTCAAACTTTGGGTGAATCACTGTAGGAGCTTAGTTGAGAGCAACTTTATGTCTTATGTTAAAAGTCTATATTAATCAAGTGGGTTAGTATAGTGGGAAATGTAGGCATTGCTTTGGCTCATTGAGTGATAGTGTATTACTCAGAATAGAGATTAGAAGGTTAATCTCGTGTATGTTGTAAACTGTGTCTTACAGTTGCTTGAGAAAATTAGTAAAAACAGTTTGAAAATCCTTTGAGACAGGTCATGATTTTACTCCCTTGAGCAAGGAGGTTTCCACGTAAAGTTATGCGTGCTATCTTTACTTTATGCATTTACTTCAGTTTATCTTAACTGTGCTAAGGACCTGGTCCTATTGTAGTTAGTGGACGCATACATTCCAACAAGTGGTATCAGAGCTTGACTTTTCTATTTGGGTAACACTAGGAAAAGAAAAGATTCTAAAGGAATGGTTGCTCCACCTAGCATGGAAGAAGGTCAGTCCACCACTAGACCACCTCACTATAATGGACAATTTTATGGAAGGTGGAAGATGCACATGCATGACTACATCAATGCTGAAGACACTGAGCTATGGGATGTGATTCTTGACGGACCTTACATTCCTACCAAAGATGTAGTAGATGGAGAACTTACCAAGGTGATTCCCAAAACCAGAAGGAAGTACAATGAAGCTAAGAGGAAAAAGATAGAAAATAACTATAGAGCAAAAAAATTGCTAGTGTGCAGGATTGGTCCAGATGAGTACAACAGAAGCTCTGCGTGCGAGACAACTAAAGAAATATGGGATTGTCTCAAAACAACTCATAAAGGAATGACACAAGTGAATGAGTCTAAGGTACATATGGTAACGACTCAATATGAGAACTTCTGCACGAAGGAAGGTGAAACCATCCACGAGATGAATACAAGATTCACTTCCATAACCAACGAACTAAGATGTCTTGGTGAGCCCATTCACCCAAGAAAACAAGTTCGAAAGATTCTCAGGGTGCTTCCCAAGTCATGGGAGAGCAAAGTGAATGTTATCACTGAAGTAAGAGACCTGAATACACTCACCATGGATGATTTGATCGGAAACCTTCAAACCTACGAGCTGAACAGGCAACAGAGGTCAAACGTGAAGGAAAGAAAGAAGGAGAAATCAGTGGCCTTGAAAATTTCTCTGAATGATGTGTTAGAAGATGAGGATGAGATGGCCTACCTCACTAAGAGGTTTAAGAAGATAATTAAAAAGCATGAAGGGTTCCAAAAGTAAGGATCTACCAGCAGAGCAACAAATGCAAATGATCTTTAGCACAAATGTGGGAAGCCTAAACATTTCATTAGGGACTGTCAAATCCAGAAACAGGAAGCTCAGGACTTCAAACCTCACAGAAGGGACCAAGTCCTAAATCATGCCAGAAGAAAGGCTCACATCGATCAAGTAGTGAAGAAAGCCTTTGCAGTATGGGGAAATGGATCCAGTGAATCAGAGGAAGAAGAGGATAGTCATGAAGATGTCTCGATGATGTTCGTCAAAGATGATGAAATCGTGTTCAATTCCATTTTCTTACTTATGGCAAAATCGGACGATGAAGAGAACCAGGATAAGGTAACCCTTTTTTATCTCAAAATATATATAGATACTTTATCCATTAAAAGGCTAAGAAAACTTGCTGCAGTTTTAATTGACCCAGTAGAAGAACTAACTACTGAGAGTATGATGATAAGTGAAAAACAGAGTATATGTAAGGATGAAATGCAACCCTTAACTCTCAAATGTCTGAAATTAGTGTTAGGCTAAGTATTATAGAAACTGAGAACACGCAGCCCAACGAGGACCTCTGAGGGTGGGAAACAGAAACTCAGTAACTTTGAGGTTGAATTAGAAGAAAAGTTAAAGGCATCAAAGTTTAAATTAGTGGCTTCTCTTGAAAAGAATTCTCAACTAATGAAGGACCTTAGCAAGATCAAAGAAGAGCCGAATCATTCCCTGAAATGGACTGATTCATCTAAGATCCTTTCGAACTTAGCCAATCAGAAGTTTAACAACAAAAAGGGCTTAGGTTGTAGGCAGATAGAACCTTCCTACAATCGTCACAACAAATATGTCTATGTTTATGACAATCTTTTGTGTACCCATTGTGGAAGAAATGGCCATCTGAAAGAAAAATGTGAGTCTCTAAAGAGAGTAAAAGAAAGGCAGGATAATTTTCTCAAGACGAGAAAAAGATATGTAGAAAAGAAAAAGGTGCCTAGTCCCAAATACCATTTTAGCAAGAACACTTTGCCTCCATGGACATAAAGGTTTCTCATTAAACCTTTTGACAGTTTTAGGAACTCTATCTCAAGTGGGTTCCTAAGTCTAATAAGTGATTCTTGTGCAGAAAAGAGGAAGCAGTCAGTCTTGGTACATGGACAGTGGATGCTCAAGGCACATGACTGGATACACTCAAAACTTCCTCTTTTTGGAAGCACACCAGGGCGGTGGTTTGTCCTTTGGTGATGGGAAAAAGGGTTTCAGTCTCGTAATTGGCAAAATAGGAAGTTCAGCAGAACATTCCACAGACAATGTTTATTATGTGAATGGTTTGAAATACAATCTATTATGTATCTCAAATCTGCGATAAGGGAAATGTAGTTAAATTCTTATCCGACAAGTGCCTGGTTATCAACTGTATTACTAACAAAGTTGTCATGTCTGCCAAAAGAGTCAAAAATATGTATGTTGCAGATATTGACTCAATAGAAGGGGACAGTTTCACATGTCTAAGTGCTCAGACTGACAATGCAAATCTATGGCATAGAAAATTGGGACATGTGAGCTTTTCATTGCTAAACAAGCTTGTTGCAGGGGACCTGGTCCACGGACTGCCAAGGCTGAAGTTTTCTGACAACAAAGTTTGTGAGGCCTGCGTAAAAGGGAAACAAACAAGGTCATCTTTCTAACCCAAGAAAGGTGTAAGCACAACCAGACCACTAGAACTTCTCCACATTGATCTATGTGGACCTGTCAGAATCCAAAGAAGGGGAAGTAATAAGTACATTATGATAATTGTTGATGATTTATCCAGGTTCACCTGGAATATGTTTTTGCGGACCAAGGATGAGACAGCTGGACTACTGATCACCTTCGCCAAGGCAATTCAACTGAAGGTTAACTACAAGATTGCAAGCATCAGATCAGATCATGGCACAGAGTTTGAAAATACATAATTTGAATGCTTTTGTGCTGAAAATGGAATTCATCACAACTTCTCTGCACCAAGAACTCCTTAGTAAAATGGAGTTGTGGAAAGGAAGAACAGGACCTTGGTGGATATTGCTAGAACCATGTTGATTGACTCAGGGCTTGCAATGAATTTTTGGGCAGAAGCAGTCAACATAGCTTGCTATGTTACAAACAGGTGTCTCATCAGGTCAGTGATCAAGAAAATCCCGTATGATTTATTGAACAATAGGAAACCTTTAATTGCTCATCTGAAGCCTTTTGGTTGCAAATGCTTCGTATTGAATAATGGAAAGGATGATCTTGGCAAGTTTGATGTCAGGACTGATGAAGGGGTATTGGTTAGGTTTTCCTCTACCAGCAAGGCATACAGGGTTTTCAATAAAAGAACTTTGTGTGTTGAAGAGAGTATAAATGTGATTTTTGACGAATCTGATGATAAAAACAAGGATGAAAACAATGAAGACATTGAATTGGAGGAACTGATGAAGGGTCAACCAGACAAAGTAATCCAACCTCCTGGAAGTGAACATGTTCCAAAGGAAGGAAAAAGTGCAGAACTCACAGAAGAACCTAGTCCCTCTGGTGCAGCTCATGAGGGAGACTCTCAGAACAAAAAGCATGAAAAAGATGAGTCTGCTGCTGATACTGAAGAGGAGATAACTAGAAAGTCCGAATGGAAACATTAATCTTCTCATCCTTTGGACAATCTTGTTTCTCCACTTGACTCTGGAATGCAAACTAGATCCAAAACAAGAAATCTAGTTGCATATTAAGCCTTCATATCCACCATTGAGCCCAAGAACATCAAGGAAGCATTAAAGGATGTTGATTGGGTAACATCAATGCAGGAAGAACTCCATCAGTTTGAGAGAAGCAAGGTATGGCACCTAGTCCCCAGACCCCTCAACAGAACCATTATCGGAACTAGATGGGTCTTCAGAAACAAACTTGATGAGCATGGGATCATCACCAGAAAGAAGTCAAGACTCGTGGTACAAGGATATAATCAAGAGGAATGAATTAACTATGATGAGACCTTTGTACATGTAGCCAGAATGGAAGCCATTAGAATCTTAATAGCCTTTGCTGCCTACATGAAGTTCAAACTGTTCCAAATGGATGTCAAAAGTACCTTCCTGAATGGGTATCTGAAGGAGGAGGTGTATGTCAAGCAACCTCAAGGTTTTGAAGATGCTGATCTCCCAAACCATGTGTTGAAGCTGGACAAAGCTTTGTATGGTCTAAAGCAAGCTCCCAGAGCTTGGTATGAGCGCCTGTGAAAATTCTTACTTGCAAACGGGTTCAAAAGAGGCAAAATTGATAATACTCTATTCCTAAAATCCAGAAGTAAGGAGTTGTTGATTGTGCAGGTATATGTAGATGACATCATATTTGGAGCTACTTCAGATTCACTGTGCAAAAGGTTTGCAAATTTGATGAACAGTGAATTTGAAATGAGCATGATGGGGGAGCTTACATTCTTTTGGGGTTGCAAATCAAACAGACCCCTCAGGGCATGTCAATATGCCAAGAGAAGTACATAAAAGAATTGCTCAAAAAGTTCACAATGCTTGAGGCAAAAGTTCTTGACACTCCCATGAACACAAGTGTCAAACTTAACATGGATGAAGAAGGAATTGTTGTTAATCAGACCATGTACAAGGGAATTATTGGGTCACTTCTCGACCTCACTGCAAGCAGGCCTGACATAGTTTTCAGTGTAGGGATGTGCGTCAGGTTCAAAGCAGCACCAAAGGAATCACACTTGAAGACAGCAAAGCGAATACTGAGATACTTGAAGGGAACATAAGACATGGTTCTCTTCTACCCTTCTAAGGGCTTCTTTGATCTAATTGGTTATAATGATGTTGACTATGCAGGTTTTCTTGTTGATCGAAAAAGCACTTCAGGCATGGAACATTTCCTAGGATCATCACTGATTTCATGGGGCACCAAGAAGCAAAATTCAGTAGCCTTGTCTACAGTAGAAGCAGAATATGTGGCTGTTGCATCTTGTTGTGCTTGACTCTTATGGATTAAACAGCAACTCAAAAATTTTGGTGTTCTCACAGACACTATTCCCCTCATATGCGACAACACAAGTGTAATGAACATGTCTAAGAACCATGTTCAACATAAGAGGACTAAACACATAGATGTGAGGTATCACATTCTAAGGGATAATATTGAGAAGAAAAATGTGGTAATGAGATTTTGCAAGACAGAAGAACATGTGGCTGATAACTTTATAAATCCCTTGAGCAAAGAAAACTTCGTCAAGAACAGACTGAAGCTGAGAATGCACAAATTCACCTGACTTCATAGCAAGCCTGCATGAAATATCCCTTTCTGACTATGTTAGGGAGGGCATGTATCTATACAGGTTGTATTGCTTATCGTTTGAGAATTCACATCTGGTACCTTACTGCAGGTACACACTCATGGCATGTTGGCTAGAGGGAATATCAAATCATACAGGCAGGGCTATCTATAGAAAGGGACCTGGTCCCCCAAAGGTTAGCATCATTTATGCTTCACAGTTCTCTGTCAACGGTCACTCCACATGTCCTTCCCCCATTCATTGTGTCAGTTTCAGACGTCCTTTCACTTTAAATCCAAGCGTCGTTACTGTTCAGGAACCCGATACCCTCTTTAAATACAATCTCTTCAGTGAATCCAAACATCCAAAATTCTACCTAATTTTTTCTCTGAATTCACTGTTCTTCCTTCAAATCTTCTTATCCTCTTTCTTAAACAAAATTACTAACTCGTCTTATTCTTCAAAACTCCCTATCTCCCAAGAAATTGAAACTCCCAGTTCATTCAATTTCTCAATTCCTTCCCCAGAAGAATATCCGTCCACACCAGTTTATGGGGTTGGTGAGACTGATGAATCCAACACACCACACACTGGAGTGGGGGCGTCTCCTGCCCTCCAATCTGGGGAAGTATTGTCCTATTCTCCCACTTTAGTTCTATTCGGTAGAAATATGAAAATTCTGAGGCCCGGTCAGTTGTGAAGCCCAGTCTTGGAACACCCTCTAAAGAACTTGAAGTGATGTCTAGGGCGTGTCAACTACCATGTCTGAGCGACTTTTTGAAGGGGATTTTCCTGAAGGGAAGGGTACAGAGTCCAATATCTTAGCAGCAGTAGAGGAACTGGTTGTTGTACAAAGTTTGGCCTCCCTAAGAGGAGATGTTCAACCAACTCCATTGAAACAAGAGTTGAGATCGCCAGAACAGGTCCCTCACAGTGCTCAACTGTGTTCGACCAAACTCCTAAGTCATTTGTTGTTGACAGTGAGGAAGAGGAGGAAAAGAAACTTCCTTGGTGTGGCGTAGAAAATGGCTTCGAGGTGGTAACACTTTGACAATGGTTGTCCCAGATCTAGAGGAAGTTGATGTTGTTCCTGAGACTAAACTCGACAATAAGCCTACAAGGCCTGAACGAGAAAGAAAAAGAAAGGGTAAGGGAGAGATGGTACAGTCTTAAACCAAAGGAGACAAGAAAAAATATGCAACCAGAGGAGCAGTTTAGAAGATAATGGGAAGTACCATAGCAGCAAATCAAATCCAAACTGAAAGAATCAGGAAAATAAGAAGGGATGGTCATGTGCCTAAGAAACCTACCTCAACTCCTCTACATATAGGGTCAAGTGAGACAGATTCTGATGACATTATTAGAGCCGTGTTTAAAAGGAAAAAGGAAGCAGAGGTTGAACGGGTCAGAGCAAAAGGGGATCGCAAGTCAGTGAAGAAAGCTCCCGTGAAGAAGGAGAGTGTGATTAAACGGGCTACTGTGAAATCGAAACCCGTCAATGGACCAGGTCCTTCTGTTCAAAAGCTAATGGAAGAAGAGGCACTGACTAAGGAAGAATGCATTGCAGAAATGGAGAAACAAAAGGTGCTGAATGGAGGAGTCTTCGATCCTGAAATTCTTACAGAATTTGGTATGTCTACTCTCTTTGACTCTGTCTCTCTACAAGGTTGGGATCACCTGTTTGAAGCCCCATCACCTTATTTGCATGAAACTGAGGTGCGTGAATTCTATTACAAAATGGAGCTTCTAAGTGATGGAGGAATCAAGACAACAGTGCGAGGGTCGACATTTCTCTGAATAACGAAATCTTGGGCATCATTTTGAGTGTACCGGATCTGGTCCATTGAAGGATGCAAGCCCTCTAGTGAGTTTTCTCAACAGGCCACAAAGCGAGGGGATATCAAACGAGCAGGGCTGCCTAAGAAATTTCTCAAAGGGGAGTACCAATTAATGATTGAGTTCATCAACAAGGTTTCGGTACCAAGGACTGGGAAGAGAACTGTTGCATCTGCTGCTGATCTGTTTCTCATGGAAAAACAGGATGAACTTGAGGTTATCAATCTTCCTGCAATTATGCTTGAACAGATGCATAGGGTAATGACTTGGAAGTCCGCTAAACATGGCATTCTTTATGGGTATCTGCTGAACTATGTATTCAAACACTTTGAAGTACCTATTGGAAGAGGCGTACCTGGTACTGTCAAGCAGATGTTCACTGCTATAACCCTCTTAGAGTGTGAATATGTTGAGGGAAAGGCAAAAGGGCAGGTCTCATGTGCCAGATCTTCTAAAGCAGCAAGCCTCTCTCAAACAAGAGTTAACTGACCTTATAGTGATCCTGAATGATAAAGAGGTTGAGATTGCACAATTTAAAGCTCAGTTGCAAAGGGCTATCTCCAAGGGACCTGGTACCAGTTATGTGGATACGAAAGAGGTTGAAAATTTGAGAGCTGAGAATGAGCAGCTGTTGAAGAGAAATGCCTAACTTAGTGAGGAAGTCCAAGCTCTCAACAAGCAAATCATTCAAGCTCATGTCGATGCAAATGAGCGTATGACTTTATTGAAGAGATCCGTCACTACCCTTCCCCCCTCTGTCCTAAATGTCTCCCATTTCCCGTTTCTCTAGTCTTTCTATCTAACTCTGGTGGCAAGTGTACTGTTTTG